CCGCTGGGGACGCCGAGGAGAGGTGGTAGAGGCGGCGAAAGTCTGGGGAGGAGATGAGGCCGAGAGTGGGCGCGCCATGGAGCGCGACACGGAGGAGCTCCGGGGGCGAGGCGGAGCAGATCTCGTGGAGAGCTCCGACCGGGAGCAGACAACAATGGCCCAGGCTGTGGCGGCCGAGCTCATGGGCGATGGGAGGGGGTGCTCCGCCACGCGAGGGGGTCGGCCATGGAGGCGGGAGCCCCTGCCTGCACCGTCCCCGCTCGGCCCCCGCGGCACCTCCTCCTCGCTCATGACCGCCGATTGAGATTGAGGAGAGAGGGGGTCGGCCATGGGAGGCTGTTGGAGAACGCGAGGTTTGGGTTCGGGACCTTTTCACTGTGCATAACTCAAAATATTGAATGGTCTTCGATTTGGATACGTTCCGTTGGAGATAGGCCATGTTTGGTTCCGAGCTCCTAAAACTTTAGTTCCTAAAAGTTTTAGGTAGCCTTCTAAAACCTTCTAAAAGAGTGTTTGGTTGCACCTCCTAAAACTGACTAAAAGCAATAAATGTTGTTGAACAAAGACACTTTTACCCTTCTTTAGGAGAGAGAGAGAGGGGGGAGGGGCAATAAATAAAGGGTAGTGGAGGTCCAGGAAGAACTTTAGGAGGTTTTAGGAGGGGGTGGAGCTCCTAAAGAAAAACCAGCCTCCTAAAACTTTTAGGAGGTTTTAGGAGGGGGTGTTTGGTTGTTTAGATAAATTCTATCTAGATTTTAGCTCCTAAAGCTTTTAGAAGGGGTAACCAAACAGGGCCGTAGTCTTACAGGCTTTAGCAGCTTTCACAGGCTGCATAGTAGCTTGGAACCTATCTGTGGGCTGGATGTTGCTTGGGCAGTTGAGCACGTGCAGGTGCAGAGCCACCAGTGGGCAGTGGTCCAGGCCAGCAGCCAGAGGATTGAGGATAGGAGAAGGGAGGGACCAGTGGGCAGTGCCGGTTGGGCTGATGCTGATCGGGTGGTGCGCTGCGCTGGGGCAGGCCGTGTCCCTGCCCGTGCCTTCTTGCGGCGCCGTTCTCTACTATTGCATTTTTCATAGCAGGAGTGTAGGACACACCTCGCAGTCCTACTGTCTCGTACTGCTGCCCACGACACACCATGTTTTCTCCTCAATGGTGGTCCTGTGTTTTCCCCAACTGTTCACTAGAGGACAAATAGACAATGTGGTGTTAGGGTTGCGGCAGGAAACACACCCCACCATAGGTATGTTTCACACCGAGACAACCATGCAAGATTCCTGCCCGTATGCACTAGCTACGTACAGCAGATTTCTGAGAGTTTATCTCATTCCTGCCTGTGTAGTGTTGATCGTGTTTGTGACTTGTGATCGGTCTCTATTATTAGCATTTGAAAGTTGAAACAGATAATGAACTGTCATGTCGGCAACCAGACAAATTTTCTTCTCCGACCTTAAACGGAAACTCTGCATCCTATTCGCTCGATCATATCAGTCATGTTTATCAGTCATGATACAATATTTTCTCTCATAACAAAACAACATCAGTCGATTTATAAGCCACAGAAACGATGATCGCGAACAGGGTAGCGAGTAGTAATAGTACTTGGCCACTTGGAAGGAAATTGCATGCATGGTCAGGGCTAATTAAACCGACGACTGATAGAGTTGGGCAGGCATGCATGCCGTACACTGTAGAATCTTAACGTACAACACGAGGAAAGCTGATTTATGAGCATGCATTTGGCCTTTCCATTGCACAAAAGTTGTGTTTACATCAAAATTCGAAAAGAAAGAACACGGAAACTCGAAGCTTTCAAGATTGTGTCGTCAAGAAATCGATTGCATAAGAGTCGATATCAGCTGATTCGGATGCGGCACTGGAATCGGCCCTCTTTAGACGACGTCAGTAGATAACGACAATAAGCTACGGTTGGCGTCGGGAAAGACATGTCGAACTCTACGAAAAAAGAAAAATTAAGGTCCAAGTTATCTTAAATTAGAAATATTTTCTCTTATACCAAAGATTGTAATGAGTCGTACTTGAATAGGATTCATGCTTAGGCTCCGGATATAAATATTGGACCCCGGTTATTGTAAAAAGGACATCCAATAAATCAATATCAATTACTTTTTTGGCTTTACGCCAACCCTTAGGAGTAGGAGTAGTGTAGATCTCAGCGAAGTTCTTCAACAAGCAGGGCTGCATCGATCCGGCCAACTCCCGGCTTGTCTGTAAGTACCGTCATGGTTTATACTTTTGTTTGTAAGGCTGTATCGATTAAGTTCGACCTCCACTGCGAACTCTAATATAAGCTAGTTATCGACTCCTATCTAGTTCAAGTACGGCTGCATCGGTTAAGTTCGACCTTCACTGCTCGAATTAGATTAAGGTCAAGTTATCGGCTCTACCTAAGGGTGGCGTCCTTTTGGTAGATTCATTAAGTTACCGATCTTGCTGATGTTCTTATTGTCATTAGTTTCAGCAATATCAACCTGCCCGATCGAGATCGATCTAGATCGGCATCATATCCTTTTTAGTCCATCGTTTATTTTGCTACATTGCGACGATTCTTACTTTAAACAACGAATTATGTTTCACCGGCTGTTCTACTTCGATCTTGATCGTGCATAGTACGCGGTTAAGTCATGTCTGATCTTAAGAAGGTTTACTAGCTAGTTGACTCTGGTTTATAGCTCGCTATTATGGATGTATCGATCCGGTCGACCCCCACTGTTAGTACTTTAGATCGGAGGATACTAGCTGATAGATTTGCTTTCGACCAAGCATGACCCTGACTGTTTGCTATGCCCGCATCGGCTAAATAGCCGATCGCCTGCGCTTTAACGTCTACAGTGTGTCTCCATGATTCTGCTAAACGTGAATAGATTTGTTTACTTTAAGGAGTTGATTTGTTATCTTTATCATGACTGTCATCGATCCGGTCGACCCCCACTGTTAAAGATAATAGGTTAGGTCTGATGAGTTCATAGATATGTCCATGTTAAATAGTCGATTGTTCACATGCTGTAGTCCCTTTTCTACATGAATCGACTATTTTAGTCAATTTCGCTTGTTCTTTCACGCATATAGCATGTCTTTCAGAAAACCTACCAATGTATAGATGGTTTTAAGAATTCTTCGGTTTTAGTTTGTTATTATCATCATAGCTGTCATCGATCCGGTCGAAGCTCACTGTTGATAGTAATGGATTAGACTTAGAGCGTTTGTAGATCCATTTGTACTAGACAGTTAATTTACTTGCATGCTATATCCTTTCTCGTTAGATTCATTGGCTCAATGTTTTACACTGATAATATCTACTTAGCTAATGATTTTACTTATATCTGCGTGCATTGTACTTATCATCATAAAATTAATTGCAATCCACGAGCTTTAGAGTCCTTAATAGCCGATTTTTTTCGCGTATCGGTTGTTTAGTCGATTTTTTCGTCTGGCTGCTTCCGAAGCGGCACACTTGGAACTGTCTGGGTAAAAACCGACATATTCCACCTTAAATTACTGATAAATTTTCTCTCCTTATCAATCGCAGGTCAAATTGACTGGCACGTCTTATGAAATTCGCAGGATCAACTAGCCCTGCGTTGAAGCCAAATGGATCTCCAGCCTTACTCTATCAAGTAGATCCTTCTAACTTGCTGTGTATCAAATGTATCGACACGTTTTTACGTCGACGAGTTGTCCCAAGTACTGGTCGCTTCGCAGAGAAAAAGGACCAAAGATGAAAGGTTTCGACGCCGCGTACTTGAATTGGCAGATTGCACAATGGACATGGAGTGAAAAGTCCTATCGTCGCAGCTATCTACAGTACCGCCGATGCTCTATTGTGAATTGAACACCGTCGGCCGCGCGCGACAGGACTGCTGGTTTGGCAGCTAGCAGCCTAGCATGCATTCACGTACAAACCCCATGCACATGCAGGACGTAGTACTCCGGCTGTCCAAGTGGCGTGGCGGGGGCACATGCTGGCGCGGTGCCGGCGCTTTACCGTGCCAGGCCGGAGGAGAGGCGCCGCCCGGGGGTTTCCAGCTGTGCACAGCCAAGCAGCCATCAGCTAGGCAATGCAAGTACCGCGAGCAGCAGCAGATGCCAGTCGGTCAGCGTGCCAGCGCAGTCGTCGTCGTCGTCGTTCCCGTCGCCGATCGGTCATGCGCCGCCCAAGACCAACATGTGAGGAGCGCGCAGTGCGTTGCGTGGAGGGAGGAGCGCCGCGCATCCCGTACGCGCGTGTTTTGCTGAATTTTCCGTGTACGTATACTGTATCTAAGGTAGTAGCCCCGGGACCACGGGCTAGCTGGTAGGGCGCGTGGATCGCCGCGCGTGGTGTTGGCTCCCGCCACCGCGAAGGAGGGGCACCGGCTGACCACCGGCCCATGTCGAGATGCCCGCGTTTGGTGGGCGCTGTGCCGACTCGCACCGGGCTCGGCACGTACAAGTACGACGACGCTTTTTTTTTCTCCCCGCTGGCCTCGATGGAGTCGACAGTGTTGGAAGCACGAGTTCAACTGTGTAAGGGCGTGGGATTCGCATTCACTGAAGCTCGTTGTCGTTGGATGTGGGCAGCTTGCATTGCCATGAATCCATGATAGGTGTGTATACACACAGTAAGAAGAAATTGATTGTGATACCGGGAGTAGTTATAGATCGATACTATGGCACTCCCTCCATTCCAAATTATATAGAGAATTATTTGCTTGGCCTTAACAAAAATGCCTCTTAGTTTCTTGGCCCACTTTTGGTCGAACTTATTTATTTAGCCCATAATCGAGTTTTGTTTGGTTTTTTTTGGCCCTTCCGTCCATTCCGTCCATCTCTGCCGTGAGCAAGAACATGAAACGCCCGAGAAAACACAAAAATAGCCTTACCCCTTGGAGGGGCGGTGAGTCTCTCTCTCTCTCTCCCGTACCTGTTCGAGCAAGCCGCGGTCGTAGTTTCTGGCTTTCGCGTATTCGGGCATCGGGCTCCCAAACCCTAGCCACCGGCGATGGAAAAGGCCGACTCCGACGAGGTCTCCCCGGCGGATCCACCTGCGCCGACGCCGGATCCACCACCTTCGCGGCAGAGCATGGCGACCCGGCTGGTATCGGGGTTGGCAGCGGGCCGCACAAGGCAAGCCGCCACGAGGCTGGCCGCCGACCGGTTAGGCCTGGCCGTCGGCCGGCATGTGGGCAAAACAACGCCGCCTAGGGCGCCGGGGCGGCCGAAGCAAGGCACCGCGAGCACCATGATTGAGAGGAATGACCGAGGCGCCGAAAGCAGAGCCTTGCCGCCGGCCGCATTTTGCAGACTTCCGGGGCAACTGCTGGCCAGGATTCGGAGGGGAATGACTCGCTCGGAGGGTGAGTATGCCATCATCATTTTCATTTTCATCACCTACACCTACAAATTTGCATGGCTGTGAATATGGCGTATTCCTTGTGTAGGTTTGATTCTAGTTTCAAGTTGGAAATCAAATTGTTGGACTACAGTAAGACTCGTAGAAAGGATGTTAATTGTTTTAGCTTTGAGATGGTTGTGGATTCAGATAGAACAAATTTCAATGATTTTGTAGAATCAGTGGTACAGAAATATCCTCCAGGCTATATGGAAGTAGCTCATGTTCAGTACTATGATGAATTTCTAAAAACCTTCCCTAAAATAAAATCCGACCAAGATTTGATGTCTATGTTTAGTAAGCAATGCAAGAGCAAGGTTATCATCATGTTCATTGTATATCGAGGCCCTTCTGATCCATATGAGCCAATCACAAAGTGGGATTTTAATGATAGCCAACCCATAAACAACATAGAGCCTGATGAGGATGATTATCTTAGGAACCCTGCACCACAGAATGAACATGTAGGTGTAGATGAAGAGGCAATGTACTTGAAGATTGTACCACAGAATGCACTTTAGGTTGTGAATTATCCAATTGAAGCTCAGAAGAGTGGTGATGAGTCCGAGGATAATAGTGAGGATGAGGAAGAGGAGGAAGATGATGAGGATGATGATGAAGAAGTACAGGAGGAAGATGAGGTGCCACGTAATGATGGAAATAATGCTCCAAATGTAGAGTATGACGCAGATGATCCTCCAATGGTAGTAGGCTCTATTTATTCTAGCATGGCTATTTTTAGATTGGCTATTTCTCAGCATGTAATTAAAAATCAGTTTGAGTTCAATATTGCTAAAAGTAAACCTCAAAGGTTCAGAGCATATTGTTCAAGAAGAGACAAGGACAAGTGTCAATGGTGGTTGTATGCAGCTACCACTAAGGGCAGTACCTCTTGTAACACCTCTGGTGTTTTGACCTAGCACTAAAATTTGACATGTCATCATATGCATTGCAAAGCATTCATATAGTATAAAGTTTTGAATGCATTCACTAAAGAAGGTTTATTTCATAATGTTGTTATTTCATGTGATGTGATTCAAAACCCTAAATAAAGATCATGACCACAAGGGTCAAAATTCATGTGATCACGTGAGGTCATGTGTCATTTGACTCAAATAACCCTAATGGGCCATGTTACTGGTCAAAAATCAAAATTTAAGTAAAAGGAAGACAAATCAAATTTGAATTCAAATTCAAATTATAAAAGTCATTTTTGCCCCTTTTGACTAATTCAAAATCCATGTGGAATTTGGGTTTGAGGCAAAAAGCAAAGTTGGAGATTATTTTATAAGGATCAACTTTGGTATTCAAAGTTTTCAAAGTTTACATATAAAATTTGGAGTAATTTTGAAATGATTCAAATACTCAAATGCACCCCAAATTCAAATTTCAAAATGGAGGCAGAATTTGAAAATGTTCCTTGAAGCAAAGTTGTAGAGTTTGAAAAATTGAACAACTTTCATTTTTGGAGATTTTCAACTTCTTTAGAAAATTTGAGAGTAATTTGAAAAATAAACTCAAAGTGGTAGTTCAGTAAATAACTCAAAAAAATTGAAGATTGACCACGCCATACACTTCAAGTCGGTATCGTAAGTTGCCGCCGCAAAGCGTTTTGCGCCGCTTTCTCGTAGCGTTGACATGCAGCCATGTCGGTGGTATGGCGAGCTCGGCGTCTTGTTGTCGACGCCGGGCAACCCTTCCCGGCTATAAATAGCAATAGTCATTGCCGTCGTCCTGCTTTTCCTTCTTCGCTGCTCGCCATCACAGCGTAGCTTCGCCGTCGCCGTAGCCATCGTCGAGCCACGTCGGTCGTGCCCAGCTCTGGCCACGACAGCTCCCGCCCGCCCGCCGCTCATTTCCGACCTGCTCGTCTCGTTTCTCTAGCGGTCGGACGACACCACGCAACATCGTCTTCTTGAGCCGGCCGAGGCTCATGCACCCACCTCACCGCGTGGCTGGGTGATTCGGATGTCTCGCCTACACCAAGTACACCATCGTGATCACGGTGAGCTCTCGAGCGTGATGCTCGCTCTTCTTTTGACTCTACTGCACCGTAGCCGTAGCTACGTCGACCGCCGTCGAGTCCGAGCCACCATGCCCGGCGTGGAGGTGTCTCCGGTGCACCTTTTTCCTTTCTGATAGCTGAGATCGGTTCGGGGGAAAGAGTAGGTCATGAAGGTGCGGTCTGTTTCGCCAGAGCTTCACCGCCGACGCGTTTTGCCGATCGGAGCAGACAGCGCCGCCGTGCGTCCTCTTTAAATAGAGAGAGGAAGAAGAACAGTGCAATTTTGTAATTTCTGAAATTTTGAATAGTGCTGAATCTTTGGAAATTTGTAGGAAAATAATCATAGCTCCAAAAATTCTGAAATTTTGTGTGTAGCTTCTGTACATGCTCTAGTATGGTTTAAAAATATGAAACTTGAAATTTGAATAAATTTTCAATGTTCAAATATTCAGTCCATTAATTAATAAATGCAATTTCCATGATTTTTGTAGGCCACTGTATAGCTCCAAAAATTATGAAATTTATTTTGATACACTAATTTGTTATGAGGAACCTTACATAAAATTTTGAGGTCATTTGGAACAAGTTTATTTTTGGGCTTATTTCAAATTAATTAAAAATTGAATAAAAGCAACCCTAATTGTTAGGGTTAGGATTTAATTTTTGTTTGGGTCAGGTTGTATGACCAGTAGGGTTTCAAGATCCATTTGGTCAAGTCCCATGTATGGTTCTTAATGGTAGGATTGCAAGTTGGTTTTGTTGGCTTACAACTGTACTATGAAATAAAATCATTTGCGGGGTGTTGTTACATTTCATGTACCGTGAAAGCATCATATTTACATTATCATCATGTTGAAGCATATGTTATTATTTCGTGTAGAACCCGAGAGTGAAACGATTCTAGTTGAGCAAGTTCTGGAAGGATCCCCGGTTGTCACGGGATTTGATAATTGTGGTACTGATCTGGAACCTGAGATCGTCAACGAAGGCAAGCCCCGGTTTATGCATTAAACCATTACCTTGTTTACATTGAAAAGTTTATCACTTATGTTACTTATTGCATTAAGTTGATTGACTTCAAATGTTACCTACTTGATGCATTGCCTACCTTGTTGATTGTTTACCATCCTTAAGATGATTTCATTTACAAAGGTGTAGAATTGCTTAGTATGCTTTATGGTAGGTTTTCAAAGTAAAAGTTTCGATACAATCAAAGATGGCATACTGGCCAAAGAAAGAAAGAAAGAAGATAGAATGAACTAGAGACTAGTTGGGTGGCTTATCTTGAATGTTGGGTAATGTTGCCGACTATGTCGCTTAAAGGCCACTCATTGTGGATCTTCTGAACGAGACACTTTGTGGTACTGGTCACATACTCCGGTAAGCCTACTTCGGCTAATCCGATACTAAGACGAATGCCCACGCACTGGGAGTGGTGAGATGGCGGGAGTAGCGTGTACCCTCGTGGCTTGAATGTGGCTGGATTTGAGGTGTGCTGTGCTCTCGGGTGGCGTGGAGACGGTTTAGTACGGGAGGATCCGGTAGCGAGGTTGATATATGCAAGATTAAGTTCTACATATGTCGTGTGATAAGGAATCCCCAGCTGGGACTTGAATCAATTCGAATTGCCGGTGCTCCGCGGATATGGAGACTCGATTCATTACAGAAGCAATGTAGAACTGGTGAATTACTAAAACTTGAGAAAAGGAATGGAACGAGAAGGATTGAAACATGGGATATAAACACTTAGTTTGAGATATTAAACTAAAGTACTTAGGGGTAAAACTTGAAACTAGGATCAAGAATAGTAAGCTTTTGGCAAAGAACTTTTGAATCTTTCTACATCCTTATCTTGACCCAACACCTGCATCCCTAAGACCTTCACCCTTTTTCGTCGGGTCAGTCTTGTTGAGTACCTTTTGTACTCAGGGTTTGTTAACCCTTGTTGCAGGTGAGTCGCATGCGCAGGCTTGTTTTGGTCCCTGTTGCATGTCAGTGTATGAAGTCGATGACGATGAGGAATGATGAATGGCCTTTGGACAAGGCACTAGTTTGTGTGAAATAAATAATGTTAATGTAATATTATCTCGCTACTATGGTTGTATGACACTTATGGTTATGTAAGTTTGAAACAACTGGTTTGTAATATTAAACTTAAGTCTTCCGCTTTATTACCTCTGGTATGTATATTGAAAAATATTGTAATCTGCAATGACTGTGATTGGGATCCTGTTTGAAACATGGATGATTCGGGTTTCCCGAGGACACTCGACAGACCTGTTAAGTTGTTGGGAACTTGTGTACGCTATCTGAGGTCTGTTGAAACATCGATAGGTGCACGTGGGCCCGATTTCTTAGGAGGTTCTGCCACACCTCTCTCACGGTAATTTCAATTTTTGAACCTTATCTTTTTCCTGTATCCCTTTGTGTTGTTTTTTGGTTACTAATTGCTTTTATATTCTATTTTTGTAGGTTAGAAAAAAAAACCTTTTGCTCACACTTGTTCTAGTTCTAGAAGGAAGAAGAATGTGAAGAATGCAACCAAGCATTGGATTTGTGAAAAGGTGAAGGACTTTCTCATTACAGATGCAACTTTGGGTGCAACGGAATTGCAGCATAAGCTAAAAGAACGTCGAATTGTAGCAGAAGCTAAAAGAACATCATAAGGTACAAATTCCATATCACAGAGTTTATGATGATAATGAGCTAGCATTGAAACACCTTTATGGAGATTGGGATAGTTGTTTCGACAACCTTTATAGGTTCAAAGCACAAATTGAAAGTTGTTGCCCTGGTAGCTTAGTCACTATTGACCATCACACTATTAATGACAATATTAGATTTAGAAGATTCTTCTTTGCATTGAAGCCTTGCATAGATGCAGGACAGGCTGTGATGGCAGGGGTGGCTCAAGTATTTCCAAGGGCTGAACATAGGGAATGTATATTCCATTTGGTGATCAACTTTAAAAAGAGGTTCCATGCAAAGGTTTTTATGACCACCTGTGGGCAGCTGCTTGCTCATGAAATCTATATTTATTTAAAAAAATGGGTTGCCATGGAGAGAGAAAAGCCTACTGCAACTAACTATATAAGGAATTGCCATAAAAATTATGAACAAGAAGCCAATTCTCTACTAGAAGCAAGGTAGACTACGTGACCAACAACCTTGCAGAATGCTTCAACAATTGGATTAAGCAACATAAGTCCATGAACTTGGATGATTTGATGGATAAGATTAGGCAAATGCTCATGAGCAAGTGGAACCAAAGAAGGAAAATATCAAAGATATTTCATGGTTTGATTCTACCCCACTTAATAAAGGATTTGAATGAGAAGAGTAGAGAATTAAACTTGGAAGTGAAAAAATGTTCAAAAGAGGTTGCTGAAGTGACCGCAATGGGAGGTAGTGGATTTCGGTTTGTGGTCAACCTACAAGAGAGGACTTGCACATGTAGGAAATGGCAGGTTTCGGGCATACCTTGCAAGCATGCATTATCATTCATCACCTCGCTTA